GTGTCCTCGACCTGCATCACTGAGGAGCTATAAAACACAAACTCCTGACACCCGTGCCAAAGCCCAGATGAACTTTCCCTGGAGGACAGACATTGTGCTAATTCAATCTGATGATACTCGATTTTGATTGGATCACCTGTCTAGCAGCTTGTTGTACTGTGATGCTAGAAGCTACGTCACCAGTATTTCAAATACCACCCGTGGTGGACAAGTTTCAGCGGATCCTCCGGGCTAAGACAGACTAGAAAGACAGACCTGTCAATCATCTTCTGAGAGTCAGCCAGTGAAAATCTCCTGAAACACAGCTGGATGTTATTGTCCGATACAGTACTGACGATGAGCCCAGCCACACGAGTGGTCGTGAAGATGGCAAAGGACCAGGCAAGCCTCCATTGTGTTATCCACAAGGTCCCCATGAGTCAGAGCTGGCTCAAGGGTAACAAGCAAAACCACAAGATGGAAAGGGCCAAGCAAAGGAGCAGAGTCGGTCTCAGCCCACTCACAGTCCAGAGAAAAGTTAGACAAAAATACTGATGAGACCAGCAACTCCCTCCTAAGTACGGAGCCAAGAAACAAGACATCCACAGAGACTTTATTCTCAAAGCCAAGAGCTGGAAACAACCCTAAAATCCATTAACAGAGCGGTTTTAAAAAAATCCATTAACAGAGTGATTTAAACATCGTGGTACATCCACCCAGCCGAAAGCTGCTCAGCAGTGCCAAGGGACAGATCGCTGACACAGCAGGAACACGGGTGAATCTCACATTGTACTGAGACACCAAAGGGTACAGACTAAGATTCTGTTTATGTGACATTCTAGAGCAGTCTGTGGTGACAGAGGACAGAGGAGTGGCTACATTGGGAGAGAACCTTCTGGGTTCTGTAAGAGTGCTACAACTTGAAATGCATGGTGGTTACTTGGGGGTGCATACATTTGAAAATCCAAGCAGGTGGACACTTGAGATTAGTGCATTTTATTGTGTGTAAATTACAGCTCACCAAAAACATGGGAGGAAAAGGGAAGAACGGAGGCATGATGAGGGAGAAGTGAACAGCAACAGATAAAATGGGAACAGAAGAGGGGCCGTCCCCTCCTGTCCCCATGCCTCCCCCAAAGGGCAATGCTGCAGGTGTTTAAGATCTGTCAGGACTGAGGTCTCCAACATTCTAGGGGCATCTCTCAACCATGGCACAGTTTGACCGTGTGTACCCACACCCACTCCTACCAAAAATGTGCTGGGATAGTCTTAGCTGGAGCAGAGGGGCTGTCACAAGCAGACAGATGGCCTTTCATAGAGGGGGTGTCACATAGTCGTGACAATGTGTTCAGAGAGAGCGTGACCGTCCCCACTTGACAGGTGGAGAAACCCAAACTTCACAGGTTGAATAACTTACCACTTACCTTTTTACCACAGCACTCTGCCCAACAACTTGGTACAACAAAAAGAAAACTCAGTAAAGGGTCCAGAATAAATATCACCCTACTAAAGGCTAGACAAGGAGCTCTGGTGGCACGGTGTCTAAGGCACTTGACTGCTAACCAGAAGGCTGGTGGTTCAAACCCACCAGCCACTCCTCAGAAGGAAGGTTGGGCAATCTACTTCCGTAATGATACTGCCTCGGAAACCCAAGGAGGGGTTGCTATGAGTCGGGTCCGACTCCACGGCACATAACAACAATGAAGGCTAGACTGACTCCCACCTTGGCACTAACGCTTAAGCATGCAACTAGCTGAAAGGCTAGTGGTTTGAACTCACCCAGAAGAGCTTCAGAAGGAAGGCCTGGTGATCTGTCTCAGAAAAGTCACAGCCTTGGAAACTGCTGAGTAGCTCTACTCTACACACATGGGGCGCCACAAGTCAGTGTCAACTAGACAACTAACAACAAAGATTAGCTTTAGGTCCCCAGATGAAGGAAAGGGTCCGCGCTCCACTATTAACCTACAGGTTAGCAGTTCAAACCCACCCAGTAATGCTGAAGAAAGGCCTGGCAACCTGGAACTATTACAGCCGAGAAAACACCGTGGCGCAGTCCACTCTGTAACACATGAGGTCACCGTGACTAGGAATCAACTTAAGAGCAAGGGGCTGGATTTTTTTCTTCTTTTTTAATTTGTTCTTTTTTTTTCCAATAGAGTAGTTATAATGACCCAACATGTCTTACTTGTCTTAGATGTTGGACAAGCCCTGGTTCCATCCTGCACCACCATGCTCTGCTGTAGGGCCTCTGGCAGGTCATGTAAGCTCACTAAGCCAGTTTCTTCCTCTATGTTGTTGTGCGCCAGCGAGTTGAGTCTGACTCCTGGTGACCCTATATGACAGGGTGGAATGCCCCTGCACAGGATTTCTAAATGCAGATAATACAGCCATCTTGCAGATTAGGTAGGTGAATGTTAGACACTAGGGCAGAGCCAGGCCCAGAGTGGAACTTATCCAGTAGAAGTTTTCATGATTATATTGTGACTGAAGACCACATTTTGGAAGAATGGTTGCTAGTGGACATTGCACAGTAGCCTGATAGAAACAACACACAACTGTGACCTTGCTGAAGGCTGGTTACCCGACCAGGCCCAAAGCCTGTTTCTGCTTCACCTCTTAGGCCTGTGCCTCACCATATAGCTATGCAGAGGGTGGAGAAAAGCACGCGGGGGTCAGGGAGGGTAGTGTGCTTACCGCGGGTTTTCTGAATGGCTGCTTGTGAAGGGACCAGGCTGGGGCAGCAACCTTAACGCTGTGGGGAGAAAAGATCCAATACCCAGAATCCTACACCCAAGTACAGGCAGAGCCGTTCTAGAAGGCAATGTCCCCAGTAAGCCAGTGTTCACCATCACATATGAAAACAGCCTGTGCAACAGCACACCCATCTGATTCACAGCCAACAGGCAGGTAACGTTTACTCAGGTAGACAGCGAGCCAAAAAGGGCCCTGCTGCCCTCAGCCTGTGGTCCTTTCCTTAGAGGTGAGAGGATTCCAACCTACCCTGGATCTTCATTTCATGGGAGGTCTGGAAAATCACAGGGATCTGAGGACACCAGGAAGGCCACCTCACTGCTCAGCCACCAGCCACCAAACCTCCCTCAACGCGGCCGGTGCTGAAATGGGGAATTTCCGATAATCCAGGGGGAGCTGGGTTTAACTTCAGACAGGAAGGCTTTGCTAAGCAAATCAACAGAACTAAAACATTGTAAAGAGGATGTTTAAACAGAAAGCAAATGACTTGCAAACACATCTCCCAAGCTGAGTTCACCAGGACTCAGTTTTACCCCTTACCCAAAAAAAGTCCGATTTGCAGATAACCTGAGGAAGCCGCACATTATAAGCCTCCTGTGTGTCGGAGTCGTGCGCACATTAGCATATTAAAGGCTCTGAGAAGGCCTGTGAGAAAGAAGTCTGGGAACTCTGTTTCAACACAAGGTTTCCACAATATTTTAAGTACAGACCATTGTTTAAAACACATGGAGGGGCAGTGGAAACCCTGTAGCCTGCTGTTTGTTTCCAAGGCTGCTGGTGACAGTGGCTCTGCTCATTATAAATACCGTTGCTCCACAGCCTGCTTAAGTTCCATGTACGCTGTGAACGCACAAAGTATCCATGAAGGGGGACATCGAGCTCAATTGGCATAACATACTACACAAAACATTGTTCCACCTCCTACTTTGGTGAGTAGCGACTGGGATCTTAAAAGCTTGCAAGCTGCCATCTAGATGCAACGATGGGTCTCTCCTCATCCACAGCAAAGAAGAATGAAAAAAGCCGAAGATTCATGGAAACAATTAGTCCTAGTGACTGGTACACCATGCGATCCGCAGCCTATATGACTATGAGACCAGAAGAACTAGATGGTGCCCGGCTACCACTGTCATCCACTCGGAGGGGGATCTATGTAGGAGATCCTTGATAGAGAGGGAGAACAATGTGGAACAAAACTCAAAATCATTTAGAAAAAAAAAAGGGGACCAGGTTTGCTGGTCTGATAAAGCCTGGTGGAACTACTGAGCCTATGGCCCCCAGCTGCCCTTCAGGTCTGGAATTCAACCCACACCTGTGGCTTCCAGCCAAACAAAAGACAGACATATGAGCTGAACATGTACTTGAGGTAGATACACTCCTTGGAGAGAATAATCATGGGAGAAAGAAGGGCTGTTTATGCACAGGGAAACAATTCAGGGGGCAGGAGTGCATGGAGGGATGGACACAGGGAAGAGGTAACTATCAGGAGGAAGTGGGAGGGGAGCTGTTGTATTGGGGTAAATTGTAGTCAATGTCATGAGACAACAAGTGTGTGAACTGCTATATGGAAAGTGAATTTGCTCTGTAAACTTCCACCAAATCACAATTAAAAAATATATATATATCCCTGAAGGAGGCACACAGAATCCGTGATACCCGTTTTCTCTGGGATCAGGAATGGCAGGGGGGTGCACCTTTCACTGTCTATCTACATGTCTCTTTCCAAGCATTTGACCTTTCATAAGAAATTGACATGCTACCTTAAAACCTCTATGACGTTATAACCAAAAAGGCCAAACCAGTTGCTGTGGAGCTGACCTGGACTCACAGCAACAGCACATGTATCAGAGGGGAACTGCACCCACACAGGGTTCTCAGTGGCTGTATTTTGGAAGTAGTTTGCCAGGTCTTTCCTCCAAGGCACCTCTGGATACACTTGACTTTCCAACCTTCTGGTTAGCAGCCAAGTGCATTAACCATTTGCACCACCCAAGGAGTAGTCTTGATCTTATATTAAAGAAGTTCCTATGAGCTCCTTCCCCAGATACCCCTCGGCCGCTCAGGCCACACTAAGCAGCTCCTCCGTGCTCTCATTTAATTGGGCTGGACTAGTTCACGCCAACTCCAGTGCCTTTCCTGAAAGTATCACCAATCAGAGGGCTCGGGTCCCTCTGGACAGCTCCAGACTTTCCAAGTTTTAGCCAGAGTGTCTGAGAATTTGGTGCTACAGGCAAGGCACACGCTTCCATCACAACGGGAAGGCCGCTTACCTGGTGGTCGATTTTAATCAGGGCAATGTCCGCCTTCTCATCCACATCCTTGATTTTGGCTTCGTAAGTGGCGCCGCTCTTCAGCTCCACTTTGACCCGGTGCTTGTTGGTCACCACATGGGCGTTGGTCACTATCAGCCCATCCTCGGACACGATGAACCCTGACCCACTGGCCACCGGCACTTCCCTCTTAGAGAAAGGAAGCCTAAAACCCAAAGGAACACACAGGTGAGTCCGAAACACCCTGAGCTCACTCTGCCACACGCTGACCCATTGGTTCTGAAGCACCACGCCCCCAGCCATCCCACTTCGTACCAAGCAACGCTCATCTGAGGGGCTTGGCTTTACTGCACTTCGCAGACACCGCGCTTTTTACAAATTGAAGGACGGTGGCAACTGTGTGCTGAGCAAGTCTATTGGGGCCATTTTTCCAACAGCAAGTGTTGGCTTCGTGTCTGTGTCACATTTTGGTAATTCTCACAATATTTCAAATGTTTTCATAATGCTATTGTGCACTTAACAGACTACCAAAACCAAACCCACTGCCATCAAGTCAATTCCAACTCACAGCAGCACCCAAAGGGTTTCCAAGGCTGTAAATCTTTATGGAAGAAGACTGCCTCATCTTTCTCCCACAGAGCGGCTGGCGCTTTCAAACTGCCAACCTTTTGATTTGCAGCCCAATACCTCAACCACAGCATCACCAGAGCACCTTTAAAGACTACAATATAGTGTAAACAACTTTTATACGCACTGGGAAACTAAAAACTTTGTGACTCACTTCATTGCGATATTTGCTTTATTGTGGTGGTCTAGAACCAAACCCACAATTATCTCTGATGGACGCTTGTATGTAAAATGTATATATTGGGTATACTTAACATTTAGAAAGGAGCTCTGGTAGCGTAGTGCCTAAGGCACTTGACTGCTAACCAGAAGGCTGGTGGTTCAAACCCACCAGCCACTCCTCGGAAGGAAGGTTGGGCAATCTACTTCTGTAGTGATACTGCCTCGGAAACCCAAGGAGGGGTCGCTATGAGTCGGGTCCGACTTGATGGCACATAACAATAACAACAACAACATTTAGAAACTAAGTTTTGTGTCAGTTTTTGCATGCATCAAAAAATTCCACTTCTCATTGGTCTTTTGTGCCATGGAGCCAATACCAATTCATAGAGACCCTGTGGGATAGGATAGAACCAACCCCAGGGTTTCCTAGGCTGGACTCTTTATGGCAGCTGATCACCAGGTCTTTTCTCCCATGGAGTGGCTGGTGGGTTCAAACTGCCGACCTTTTGGTTAGCAGCTGAGCACTTGACCATTGCACCATCTTAGACAATTACTGGTGATGGCTGCATAACATGATTAATGTAACTGCTATCACTAAATCATCCATGTGAAAATACTGGGTCAGCAAACATTGTGCTTTATACATATGTACATATTTACAACAGAAAGTTAAAAAGAACATATTCTTAGGGAATCTCTCCAAAGCACGAGGTTCACCTAGGAAGGTCAAGAAGTAGACTTTCTATTTGTGAACCTTAAAACTGAGGTACTGGCACAGCTGAAACAGGGTGACTCCAGGCCTGAATTAAAACTCCATTCTGAATTAAACTGAAATCTTCACTTCTACTGTCCTAAAGAGTCAACCCAACCTCTTGGTCGATATTTAACTACTTGTAACACAAAGTAAGCAGGGGCAGGATCTCTAGCCTGGGCCAGGAACTGTTTCTTGAAAATGTCTGTTAAGAACATTTACTCAGCTTAGTCCACAAAGAACTCCTTGCTCAGTCTTGACCCGGAGCCGCGAGATAGGCTTAGCGTGGATATGAAGCCCAGAGCTGTCTCCTAACTTTGTAACCAAGGTGATCCAGACCCACTAACCACCCTGGTTACGCCTCCTGACTACCCCCCAAGTCAGACTTCACTCACTGAGATCTTCCTCCATGCCTGTGGACTCTGTAAATCCCAAAAGCATAGGCCTGTTCCCTGAAGATAAGGGGACAGATAGGTGGCAGTGAGACAGAACGCTAATAGAATGTCTTGTCAAACAAACCTGAAGATGCAACCTCAGACACAACAGATCTCAGGACATGCCTGATGCTGGCATTGGAAGAGAGCAGTTTAACAAGCCCTGTAACTCTTGCCCCTCCCTGTTCCGTGCCTGTGAACACAGCCCTATTATCTGTTTCTCCTGATGGAAACTACAGTCTCCCTGTAATTCAGACACGCTGTAGCTTCTTTCACCTGGTTGTCCGTGTGTCTCCCCATTTCGTGGAATGTTTTGTTTTATATCCTTCAATTAAACTCTTCGTTTTCATTTCTAGTGGAACATCAGTGTGGTGTGTTGTCACTAAGACAATGTTAGTAAGTCCAAAGGGAAACACATCCTAAGGAAGAAATGCTTCTTTTCCCCCAGGACGACCCTCATCAACACTTTGACACTTTTAAAGTGTCTGAAAAACTGCCCTGATGTTTTGCTAATGGCTCCATATCCTTGGCGAAAGGTCAGAGGTTGCAGAGAAAAAGAAAGGCCCCTTTACTTGCGAAACAACTCGATGTGAACCACAGCCGGAGCGATCTTCTCCACCACGTCAGCTATGAAGTTGTATTTGTGGCGCAAGCTGTTGGGGTCTTCCTGCCCTGGGGACAAAAGCAAAGAGAAGACACTTTAGACCAGTGAGCCACGGTGGCCTGGAGAAACAGGGGTCAGAGGGAGCCAAAAGGCCTGCTCACAATCTGGACCCCTAAAGGGGTGGTGGGCCCAATACCCGGACCTGGGTTATAAAGGTCCTACCAGCCCCAAAGATAACCCATCCAGCTCGGGCAGCAAAATCTACTGAAGTTACCATCTCATTCGGCTTCTTTCCTCTCAAGTGTGTCACCGCCCCCCACGGGTCACTCTGACCTGTCAGCACGCTGACAGCATCCCTGCCAAACTCCCAGCACGGCAAGGAAGCCACCTTTCTCAGCAAACGCCAGAACTGCGGGAAGGCTGACCCCTGCTTTGATGAGATGCCTGTCACACGTACACATTTTAAAGATGATCACAAAAAAAGCATGAAGGCAAAGGCAACTTTGTCCCGTCCTTGCCACTGATGCCGTAAGGCAAGCTGAGGCCACCATCTGTTCCCAGAACAGTGTTCTCCATGCCTGACCATTCATTCCAACTCTGGCTGTCACATCCCAGGCCAAAAAACACTAGAGGTGTCCTGGCATGGTTGAAAAGAAAAAGAGCAAGAGAAATAAAATGACCCCACCTGACATAATTTTGTGTAGAGACAGACACGTTATTGAACAGGAAAATTAATAACAGACAGCTTACTTTGATTTTAAGGTTTTTCTTACACTCAAAACCAAATGAGAAACCAAACCCATAGCTGTTGACTCTATTCTGGCTCCTAGTGACCTCATAAGACAGGGGAGAACTGCCCTAGAGGGTTTCCAAGGCTGTCATCTTTACAGGACAAGACCACCACATCCTTCTCCTATGGAGCCACTGGGGTGTTTGAACCACCGACCTTTCAGTTAGCAACCAAATGCCTTAACCACTGCACCACCAAGTGCGCCTCTTCAGAACCAACTATTAACCGCAAAAAGCCTGACTCAATCTGTGAAAGCCTGACAGAAACTGCTCTAGCAACATAAACGCCTCATCCTACTCAAAAGGACAGCTGTCTGGAATCAAAATGGCCTCCCTACACACATACAGAGGCACTGCTCAGAATAAAACTTGTGTTCAAACTTTGGTGAATTTGGATTTAACAACACATGCTCTCACAGACTATAATTTGTGGACCCCCACATGGTGAGCACATTCAAAGCTACTTCAGACCAAGCTGTCCCACAGCCCTGGTGTAGCGCTCCTCCCGCCCCAGTTTCATGAACACACCCAAGGCATCTGATTCAGAATGCGGCATCCTGCTCTTCCCTGACCAAGTGGCTTTCTGCTTAAGCAGGCTCCCAGGTTGCCCTCCAGCCTACAGCTGAGACCCACACACCCCTTCCTTGGCTCTGTTCCTCTCTGCCATAGCCTAGCCCATCACAGCTGCCCAGAGCATGGTCTAGATGACGCTCCGTGAGTTGGGAGCCGCCACAGGTGATGAGACCCAAGTACAGAAAAGAAGAGGACGCTTCCTGCAATGTCTATGGCAACATGACAAAGGACTCTTGTGCCTGGGAATCTGAAAATTAAAAGTCAGGGCTGTCTTGTGTCATTTTTATTTCACTTTCGTTGTAACTTGTTTTCATCCTATCTTATAAGAGTATGGATCCAGGATGGATGGGGCACAAAAGACAGGAAACTGTTCATTCCCCATCGATGTCTATGCCAACCTCGTCTTTGGTCCCCACACAGTCTGCTCAGGCAGCATCCACACAGAAGCCTGCAATTTACACAGAAACCTGGAACCTGCAAAACTATCCTTCATTTTCTAGAAGACCAGAGCACTGACCTCCACTCCCTCCCAAACACACACACACACACGTATGTACACAAGTGTGGGCATGTACACACACATGCATACAAACAGGCACACATACACAAACACATCTACACGGACATGCGCACATATACACGCACACATGCCTCCCTCACTGTGGGGGGAGGGGCGGTCCAGTCTCCCAGATTCTCAGGCTGGAAGTGAAAGGTGTAAGACTTGCACAAGTTTGGGCCACCTGCCTGCAGACTTGGGGCTCCAGTGGACAAGCTTGACTCCCATCCAGCCACAAGCACTCTGAACAGAGGTGGGTTGCTTCAGGGCCTCCACTCACCCTGCCAGGGGGCCCAGCAAAGCTTTTAATTGTCAAAAGCTTTTGGAGAATTTGCTGACATAAGACACTTAAACAGCAATTGATGGAGGCCACTATCTCTTTCTGTCTGTCATATCGAGTGGCTGTAAGCATTTTAGAAGGCAAACTGGGGGACAGCTTCATTTAGGTCCAATGGGGCATATTTATGCGCTTTGAAACCACTTCTGTGTCTGTTGTTGTTGCTGTATTCTTCAATCTTCATCAGTAAGTGCTTCAAGTCATCCTCATTTTCAGCAACCAAAGTTATGTTGTCAGCGTATCGCAGGTTCTTTTTTTTTTAATTGTGATTGGGTGCCAACACGTTGTCTCTGACTCATAGCAACCCTATGTACAACAGAATGAAACACTGCCCGGGTCCTGTGCCAGCCCCATGATCCCTGCCATACCTGAGTCCTTCGTTGCAGCCACTGTGTCACTCTATCTTATTGAGGGCCTTCCCCTTTTTCGTTGGCTCTCTATTTTACCAAGTATGATTTCCTTCTCCAGAGAATGGTCCCTTCTGACAACACGACCAAAGTAGGTGAGACCAAGTCTGGCCATTCTCGCTTCCAAGGAGCATTCTGGCTGCACTTCTTCCAGGACAGATTTGTTAGTTCTTTTAGCAGTCCATGGTACTTTCAGCATTCTTCGCCAACACCACAACTCAAAAGCATCAACCCTTCTCCAGTCTTCCTTATTCATTGTCCAGCTCTCACATGCATATGAGGTGACTGAAAATACCCTGGCTTCTGTCAGGCACACCTTAGTCCTCAAGGACACATCTTTACTTTTCAGCACTTGAAGGAGGTCTGTACGTTGTCTGTATCTTGACTGCTGCTTCCATTGCCATTGATTGTAGAACCAAGTAATATGAAGTCTTTGATAACTTCAATCTTTTCTCCATTTATTGTGATGCTCCTTATTGGTCCAATTGTGAGGAGTTTTGTTTTCTTTATATTGAGACGTAATCCACACTACAGACTGTATTCTTCAATCTTCATCAGTAAGTGCTTCAAGTCATCCTCATTTTCAGCAATGAAAGTTATGTCGTCAGCGTATCGCAGGTTTTTTTTTTTTTTAATTGTGATTTGGGTGAAAATTTACAGAGCAAATACACTTTCCATACAGCAGTTCACATACACTTTGTCTCTTATCACTGACCACAATTTACCACAATGCAACATCTACCCTCCTACTTCCTCCCAATAGTTACCCCTTCCCTGTGTCCATTCCTCCACGGACTCCTGCCCCCTGAGCTGTCCCCCTGTGCATAAGCAGCCCTTCTTTCTCTCATGCTTGTTCTCTCCAAGGAGTGTATCTACCTCAGGTAAATGTTCAAATCATATGCCTGTCTATTGTTTGGCTGGAAG